AAGGTCACGTCTACACATTGTGGCGGTCCGGAGGGAAGAGGAAGGCTTCAGCGCTGAGGCTTCAGTGCTGAGGGCACTTACAAGTTCTAAGTGGCCTTAGTGGCGAGGCACACGAAAACGCACAGATAGGCCTTATTTGAACGCGCGTTACGTAGGTTGGAGGACTTGACGAGGGAGGGGCCAGAAAAGTCGGTTCCGACTCCAGCAAATGGTCGGATGGCCCTCACACGGTCGGGTGGTAAGTCACCCATCATCGGCTGCGATATGGTGGCCTTCAATTTATAACAAGGTAGCACCTAAAAATGACGCTCCGAATGGTGCGTCAGCCAGCCAAAATCCAAAGCTCCCGCTGCAAATAGCCGAAGCACAAAAATAAAAGCACAAGAAAAAAAAAGAAAAAAAAGGGACACGTTTTAAGAGCTACATCGTAAAAATGTAAAATGTCACAAACTCTGATAGTAACAATCTTTTAACATATAACGTTGAATGTAACGTTTGTTGTAACGTTCTAATATAATAAGTTACTCAAATATTTTATCTTCAAAGGAAACGTTAGATATTTAGAGCCCTAGTCTCCCACCAACCTAGTGGAGGCCACAGCTTGTGAATCCGAATTCAACAGAGCGCAAACCGTTAAACAGTCGCCACTCGGGTTGTACACCTTCACTGAGGCCATCGGCAATAGAACAGTTTGACAAGTGGACTGTTGACGGCTCAGTGGATCAGTGGAGGCGGCCATGGTGGGAGCTAGGGCGGCCGCTACCTAGCTGTAGCAGCCTTCATCGGACCGGCACTCGAACCGGGGGTCGGGCCGACCTGGGGAGCTTCGGAGAACCTCGACTTTGTGGCCCGGGACAAATTCGAGGTGGCAGGGACCCCGTAGTACCGGTACCGACCAAAGGAGGGAGGGTGGTACTCCAGTCGCGGCCTCTCAGCCAACGGGGGTGAGAAAGGTCTCGCGGACCGCTGAGTGGCCGTAAAGTTCCTCTCAACACGCTGAGGGGGGGTGACGACCCCCGCCCCTGGGGGAACGACTCCCCGACTGGTCGAGGGAGGGACCGCTTTCAAAACCAGGGGCACGGTGGCCGGCAGGGGAGCGATCAGCGTCGCCCAACAGAGGGCGTGGCTGAGCACCCCCGCCCGTGGGGGTTGAGGGCCCGGCAGAGCCCCAAGAGGAAGCGCCGTTCGCACCCAGACACAAAACGGCATGGTGATTACCCTGGCAGTGCGGACAGGGCCGCTGGTGCGGGCAGTCTCGTTGGAGATGCCTTTCCAAACACGAGTAGCACCAACGGCGCTCCTTGGCGATGGTTCGTCTCGCTGGGACCGGCTTACTCAACAATTTCGGGCACATCGTCACCCGGTGATCGGATGCTCGACAACAGGAGCAGGGGGGCGCCTCCCTGGCCACTATGCCACTATAAGAAGGCAGGGGGCGGCGCTCTCCCGCGGGAGCTCGGCTCGGTCTGAGCAGGGTTGGCGACGACTTGCCCGGGGGATTCCGCTGCTCCCTGGGCACGGATTGTTGGCAGTCTGTAGGTCGTCGACGGGGCCCGCTGCGTTTTCAGTCTGCCTGCTGCTCCTCCAAGAACCGCAGCAGGTCCCTGAAAGGCGGAATATGGCTGTACCTCTCCTCAAATTGGATCTGAAGATTGAGAGGCAGGCGGGACAGCACAATGTGGAGCAACAAAAAGGACCATTGGTCCACTGGTAAATCCAGCTGCCTCAAAGAATTACAGGACACCAAGACTGGATTTACGCATATTTAGCAATGTTACGGCCCTGAGTTACCCCGACAAAGGTCGATTGAGCTAGGGCCCAACAGTAACCTAATTCGACGAGTAACTAGAGGGTCGAGCCCAAAATTGCCTATGGATAGTTAATTTATAACGGCTAGATTCGCAAACACAAATCTTACCGAATTCCAGAAGTAGGGTCTACTACAAGGTGGCGTCAGGGGCAAGTAAAAGGTAGTATGCGTGTAGTGTAGATACAATCAGATAGCAGCACCACGTGCGTTGACCGCTCCACAAGACGCTCACCGCTATCGGAACTCAAGTCCAGCGTCCCTTAGCACGAACTATAATCGCGCGCGATCTACACCCGGATCACAAAGTTCAGCGCTCCACACGAAAGCAAAATTCCTTCGTACACTTTAACTAATTTATTATAACTTTAATTAACAGCACAAGCCACTCGTCGATGTCAATTAATAGCAATCGAAGTTAAAATAGTCTATCAAAACGCAAAAAAGCCTCGTTGTCACGTACATTAACGACAAAATACAACAACATGGAGGCCGTCGATACGCCACGCAACAACTATTATGTAATACCCGACGTCTAACTGGCACGGCCGTAGCGCTCCAAGATTCCCGCCGACTGCACTTGCTGGCAGCACCATATGCCCATAGCAAGCACCCCTCTTCTGCGCAACGCTAACCGGTTCCCCGCTCGAGACGCGCTTGCACGCTTCAAATGCCACAACTTGGCGTAAACATTATGTTAGCAGAAAAAATGTGAACTGGAATTATAGCAGAATAACAATCCTTATTAAGGAAAAACTTAATTTAATGGGTGCTAGTGAATGGGCAAAATTATGCGATAAAGTAAAAGATATAGAGAAGGAGTACATGAAAAACGACCACATAATGGACCAAATAACGGAAGAGTTTATCATTCAAATGGGCAATGATGACTCTGAGGCTAGTTCGGAGGATGAGGACGACCACAAAGATTATAGTGATGATGATGAACTGACAGATGAAGGGGCCCCTACTAGCACGGCAACACCAGATTTTATGGAAGGCATATCACCTCTTCCTACTTCTTAATAAAATATTCAATTCTAAACACGAGGTATACATTAAATACTTTATAGTAGATAATAAAATAACGCACACGAATATCTGCAACATTACTGTATCAAAGTAAAAATTTATGTGTTCAAGTAAACGTTTTCATAAAAGTCGGCGAAAATATTCAATTACGAATGTCATAATAAATGTACCCAATAATTTTGCCCGACAGTGTACCTACCACCCACCACAGTTTATTTGTGCTCAAGACTCGTGTCAGCAACTTTACATTTCAGTTCGTGGAGGTGACAACAACCTTCTTTGTTTGAAGTTAGTTGCAAATTTTCATAGACTGCAGTAAGCACTTATCATTGTCAGGTGAACTGTAAGTTCATTGGACACTTCATTTTTATTTAAAAAAACTATTAAATACTAATATAGTTTAAAAAAGTTATAACATGTATCAGTATTCAGAATGACAAAAATATTCTTATCGTACCTCACGTATCATCCTTGGTAGGAATTGGGTCCGCAACCATTACATCAGATTTGATAGACCACAAATCCTCGCGAAAGAACACCGATTCCTACCAAGGATGATACGTGAGGCTATTGAAATTAAAAAACATCCTAATTGTCAATAGAGAAAGAGGCTGGGTACTACCACCTACTTGGGATCCTATAATCAATAAAATAAAAACTAAACCCAAGCATACCACTACAAGACCTCAGGACGTAGTCAGTTCATTTTGCATAGATCGGACCATAAACAATAATTAAAAAAGCTGAAGGTACTCCGGGTTTAACAATGACATCGGGACGTCAGTCATCTCAGTCCCCCGTGACCATGGGTGCTGGAAAGCGCCCGAAACGTCGGGAATTAAAAATAAAAGTAAATAAAAAGTAAAAATAAACGCGATAAAATCCGTAAAAGTCGTTTTAATCATGTTTTTAAAGTTATATAAATTTTTCAAAATTCGATAAGTAGTTTAAAAGATACACCCTGGGGTTGGGGCAGAATGAAATTGCGTCTTGTATGGTAATTGCTAGCATTTAAAAATATAGCATTGTTTGCCGTAAATTTGAATATTACGTTCTTGCTCTAACACCGATCTTACCCCAACGCACTTAGTAAGATTCATGTAATTCATTTCGGATGGTCGTTCTAGAAGTTTTACAATTGTGCGAACACAAATAAATGCTTAATTTTAACTTATTTATATTTATTTTATAATGTTTCGACTTATTTTTAGTGTTCATATTTGAAGCATCATGATGTTAATTCAAGTTTAATGAGTGAAAACGCCAATGCAGTCTTTTTAGTTTGAAATCGAATATTACTCCCACTAACTGTCAGGAGTATTGTTATCTCTAACGACTAAACGTGGGTGCGTGACGAGCATTGTGTTACGTCTTTTTCTCATCAGTCATTAATAACGGGACGGGGCTAAGCGGGATGTGTGTGATGGCCTTAATGCTAAAATAAAATTTACTCTATGGTCTATGGCTATATGTATGCTCCCCATGCAAATAATCTTTTTCATGAAAGCAATTGTTTTAATTTTTACAATACATGTATTAATAATAACTTTAATATTGCTGATTAAATAAATTAAAGTAAAAATTTTACAAGGGTTGCGACTATTTATGAATATTACGATATTACGTTTCGGAACGTATGCTTAATCAAGCGTTTTTTGGGTTGCCACTTGTCATTATGAATGGTTCTGATATTTCACAAATGACTAATTATAAAAATATTGAAAGATGATTTCAACGTCAAATTTCATCATTATTTTCATATTATTAACAGTTAATATAAAACAGTCTTTTTCCTAAAAATTAAGAGAAAAAATATGTTTTTAAAAGAATTCGCTTATGTTACCATTGCAAAATCTTTAATTAGGCAGCAATGTTGGATAGTCTTTTATTATCACCTGTGCCTTGAATGAATGGTATCTTCATTATTTTGTAGAATAATCTCATTTTATCATTGTATAGTAGGTATATCTATGCTATGCTAGCAATCAACAATAGCAACAAGTAGACAGCTGGGAGGATGGATGCTGTTGCTGATAGTATAGGATATTCATCCCATTCTCATGTAAACAGCTACGTTTTGTTTTCTTAATATCATGTCTTTGAACGTTATAAGTAACTAGTAACAATATCAGTGAAAGTGTGTTTGTGTATTTTATTAAAAATGGATGAATCCGGTATTGATATGGGATTTGATCTCGCCTCTTTCTTGACAAATGATAATCATGTTGACCATATCTTGGATGAGATGACTGCAGCTCAGCATCAGGACTTCATGTACTACGAACTTAAGTCGAAGGCAGTGCCAGTGACTGAAAGGTAAGTGATGTTCAGCACGTGATGTCAAATTAAACATCATAATTTGTGAATATTTTTAGCACATTTTACGTATGAGGAACAATTTCACTGAAGCCAATTCGTGACCCTGAAAACTTTACTTGGCAAAGCCCCCAGATTTGCTATGTTTACATCCATTCTTTACAACAAATATTTCGCGAGCATTCATAAGTATTTTTGTTAGACCTTTTCAGATTGCTATTGTTTTTATTTTTCTCTACATTTTGTTTGCAAACATTGATCCTGTTAAATTTCGAATAATTATTAACATATTTTTAAGTAATATTTTACTGATTATTATTATCTTTAAAAAAAAAACCACTTGTAAATTTTCCCGCCAAAATTTTTAATTTTGTTGGTACATTATATTGCGTAAATATTTTGTCGTCTTAACCTAAAAGAGAGCTAAATATCAAGTTTATTTGTTTGTTGATCGTAGCGACTTTTAAAACAGTGAATACTTTCTAAATTGACCCTATTGTCAATTTCAAGCGACTGGAAAGCAGTGAAGATTTATTGTGTTATGATAGTTGTCAGACCAACAAAAAAAGATAGATAGACTATGCGCCGCGTAAACATTTTATCCAAGTAAAAATTGGTTGGTCCTGCAGGCCATCCCTGGAACTTCCCTCTAATTTCAAATGCAAAGCGGTCCAGATTTCACCAATTATGTTGTGATTTTTTTTAAAAACGTTACCCTTACACTAGGATTTTCTCCTGTATCGTGGGGGCAGTTTACAAACATAAATTGAACAAGGACAAACATCCAGATCCGGAACAATTATTTATAGGCCATACGAATACTTGTTCCGTGCGGGATTCGAACCCGCGACCCCCAGCACAGCCACTCATTGCTAAGCCACTGCGCCTCGGAGTCGTCAGTAAATCTCGAAGTTATGTTAAAAAAGGTTTTTTTCTCAAATTCTTTCCTCTTCGATATCTCACTAACGAATGAACCGATTTTTAGTTTCCAAACGGCAATCGAAGTCATTTTTTGAGGTTAGTTTTTGAAATCGATTGATAAAGCCGTTTAAAAGTTATTCAAAAAAACAGATTTTCAAAAAAATTTTTTGAGATCTCAAAATCTACTCGTCCGAATCAGTTCATATTATCAACAAATCTATTTTACATTGAGATCTTTAGAAAACCGCATCTCAATCGATCAAGACGTTAGAAAGTTATGTAAGGTTTACATACTTACACACACATATACATACAAACATCCGCGAAACCAATAACTTTTGAAAATTTTCAATTTTCGTAGCGGGAAGTTAAAAACATTTCGTGAATTTCAAGCGATGCTGAAATCATGCTCAACTTTTTGTCACGCACACACAGACATCTTTTCTCTTTCTTTTCGTAAAACTTCACTGCTTAACGCATACATATACACCTAAAACCATGTTGGTCGCAAATAATTAAGATGCATATGTGTACGTAGTGTTCCTACAATTAAATCGAGCATGGTTGTGGCTTGGAATTTGCGTCACTTGAAAGCGCGTCGCGCTCAGTCTTACATTTTTTGTTGATCTGCGGTAGGAATGCCGGATCGGAGAACCAAAATATCTAGACAAAATTTAAAATGTCGGGATTTTGGGGTTGTTGTCGGGAGAAACAAATATTATAAATAATAATGTAAAATAATATTTTTTAAATGAATAGGCTACACAAAACTATGTTAACATAACTAATTTAAGAACGCTTAATGTCTGGGTAGCCTCATGTATTTGGCATTGGACTTTAGAGTCCACCAATTTGGATCCTTTATTAGTATTCAGAAAAAAATTAAAATTCAAACAACTTACTTCAAAGTGCAGTCTAATTATTAACTCAGCTTTTATTAAATCAAAAGGAGCTGTGATGGAAGACAAGCTGTTTGTCTGGAGTTTTTGAGGTTTGTCGGCAGTCTGAAGATCATTAAAAATGTCGGGAGAATCCAGTCGAATCCCGACCATCTGGCAACCCTAACATGCGGTTATGTATCGTCACTTGTTTTTAAATAATATAAACTATTTAAGCGTAAGTGCACTTATCCCTTTTTATATTTACAGTTGTTATAAAACCGATCGGAAATTCACGAATAAGCTAATGCATTGGGTGAGATATTATGTACCTACTAAATACATTATTCTTAATGAGCAAATGTACCTACCTACACCTACTTCGAGTATGCACTAGAAGTAGGTGTAGGTATATGCAGTACGTGAGTTGATGTTGATGTAAAACATCGTGACGGAAACTCCATATCTGAGAAGTCAAAAAAAATATTGAGGGACATGGGCTCTTCCTTCTTCCTAAAAATCATTTCAGTAATGAAAGGCAGTCCAGTTTTGGGATGTACGTTATCTGATATTTTACTAAACACACAACAAACAGTAATCAACTTTAATACCAAATATGTACTTTATAATATTCGTTTCAAAGTCCGCACGTAAAGTCGCGGGCTAAGATAAAATAGATTCCATTTATCGATCGTTTTCAATCATTGCTATAATCATCGGAATCAAAACATTTAATTGTTTAGCTCTTGCATTACAACACCATTAGGTTGAACAGGTTTCTTGTTCTTGTGTTACGTAAATAAGTTATGTGGCAGAATCACGGTACAGTATTATGGTTGTAACTCGAATGGGTTAGCTAATGGTGTAGTACTTAAAAAGCTAGGTCATCAGTCGTATGTTTGTACATCGCACTATCGACATGTACACTTCATTATTACAATTCCTCTGCCAAAGACTATAAAATATTGAAGCGACCCCATGCTTTTAGGACCAGAGAGCTGTGAACGCTGTTACCGTAAGTATTTGACGGAACCCCATAAGTAATCAAAAATATTATCGCGTAAGGGAAAAACCATTTCACGAATTATTAAGAAGACCTGAAGCTACGAGCTTTCGTAACGTTATTCCCTAATTGAATAAAATTGCTTTTACGGATTTTATCCCGTTTAATTCTACTTATTTTTTTATAGGATAGGGTAACAAACGAGCACACAGTCCACCTAATCGTAAGTGGTTGCTGTGACATATAGACATCCTACATGTATCATCTCGTTGTCACCCGTGAGGACTAAGATGTAATTTTTTTTGGCTCGTTTTCAGTAAAAAGGGTCTCCGGTTCTCTACACTCACTATACGAAACACAGCAGCATTAAGCTACTATTTTATGCTGGTATTCTGTGAGAACGTGGTACTTCCCCGGTCGAGCCGACCCATTTGTGCTTTAACTGTGCTACTTATATAACGGCAGCATGGCTCTACCACGTGTAGGTACTATTGTTCAATCCCGACATTTCATAGGCGCTGGTGCTGCAAAGCACCGTAGAATTAAACGCGATAAAATACGTAAAAGTTGTTTTATTCAATGTGTAGTGTTCGCGGAAATATAAGAAATCATTATGATATTCCCTAAGTGAGTTTCTGAGCAGCTGCAATGAGACGCTGGTCGAAGACACGGAAATGTGCTGTTAAGACGAAAAAGAAAAATTTACGATTCAAGAGCATTACAAATAATATTAAGGCTATTTAGTTCCTCAGTACTTCAGAGTCATAGTAGCGAATTCGGAAGCTATTATTGAGAAATTATTATTTGTATTTTAATTTTTGAAGTCGGTTACTTATTTTGAAAAGTTTTGAAAATTCACCCGTTTGTGAAGACTAACCAATAACACAAGCTCAATGCAACAACAAGAAATTATAGTACTTTAAGAACAAGAATGTCGTTTAAATAGTTACTGTAAAAGAAAAAAACATTCCGTATTTTGTTACACCTGAGGTACAACCTAATAAAAAAGAATCACATAAGTCTGCTTAGACGTATATCCGAAAAATACATATGTAACCGTACATAAAAAATATTTTTCCTTATTTTGTAATCGGTTAAAATATCAAAGTGAACTCTCACAGGTCTAGAGAAACCCCGTAACATGATGAAGTTGTTCAATCTGTATCTATGATGGTTTGGTTGGAAGTTAAGACTTCGCCCATATTAATATCAAAAACTGTTAGCTGTCGTCCGGAGTGTTAATTTTTTTTTAAATTAATTGCTTACAATTTCTTTAATTTATTTTTATAGAATGTGGGTGACAAACGAGCACACATTTCACCTGATGGTAAGTGGATGCGATAAGATTAAAAATTGCGGATGTAGGTATTGTCAGTTGTCACGTCTAGAGCGTGCGTGCTTCGTTGCCAGTAAAAATATCGCTTTTCGTCACTAAATAAGATGGCTAATATTTTACGCTGATATTATTAATGTAACCCTGTTGATTTTATTGTGTGTTGATGTGACCACTGTTGATCTTGACAGTTGTCTATGAGCAACAGCATCCACTTATCGAGAGTAGATGTAGATCAGTCAGTAGACCACAGCGCCCACCTTTTAAGAATCGATGTTTTTCTATTGGCCACAGCATCCACCAATCGATAAAATATACGTGTGTGTCTATGAGAGAAAGCATCAACGTATCGAGAATAGATTTGTGTGTGTCTAAGGACCAAAGTATCCACATAATATATAAGTGATAGAACCATGTTGTAGCTATATTATGGTTGTAGAACGAATGGGTCGGCTTGACCGGGGAAAGACCATGCTCTAACAGAATATCAGCGTAAAATAGCAGCTAAATTCTGTTGTGTTTCGTATGGTGAGCGTAGAGAACCTGAGACTCTTTTTACTGGATACGAGGCGTTCCATCTTAGTCCTCAGGGATGACGACGCATCTGCACTTTGATTCTTATTCGAGAATACATATAGATGTCCATGGCCAATAGCATCCACTTACCATCAAGTGGACTGTGTGCTCGTTTGTCACCTTATCCTATAAGAAAATATGACTTGTATGTACTGAAAGATGGTGCTGATGATGAAGCAGTGCAATGTTTATTGTTGACCTACTATTTTACGTGTTAGGACCATGCTGCAGCTATATATGGTATTGGAATGGGTTGGCTCGATCGAGTAAGGACCATGCTCTCACAAAA